ATATATATATATATGCTTTGATAGAAACGGAGAGGTATAATTGTGCATGTATAAAAGCTATGCTCGGAGCGGGGAGCAGAAGAGATAGAGCGAGAAGTTGAGGTAAACGAACAAAAGTTGGGAGGGTTGAAGGAAAAGCTAAGTGGGAAAAAATCCAGACCCTAAAGGCAGGTTGGTAAAAAACGCTAAGGTATTGATGGTTAGAAAATGCATGTATGCGGATTTAATACAAGGGTATTATTCTTTGGTCCTCTTGATCGAAAAGGGTTTGGAATTTACAATTGTAAGATACATTATCTCAAATTGCAACGGATGAATTCAGACAAAGTGGGATTCTGAAGAAAATATAGAGAAGAAAAAGGTTGAAGAAAAAAAGAACAATCCCATGATTTGATTTATACACATTAGAAAAAGGTACAAGCGCAAGTGGTGAAAACACAAAAAATAAGAGCACAAAATATGAAGCTCGTTTTTGTTGTCTTAGAATAGCAGCAGCGCATTGAACAAAGAGAGTTTATAAAAATGAGACGCTACTGGAGGGATTGTGATATACCAATCCCATGACCGCAAATCAATAGATATAATCAGTGCCGATCTCTGAGATAAAACGAATCCATTATTCAATTAGAACCATGACCCTTGCTCATAAATCCTTCCACCAAAACAAACTCACCTCTTGGCTTTTCAAAAGACCTTCTGAAAGCATCATTGAGTCATATTATCATCTCTTATGTCGGACTTCATGCTTTCCGCAGACCTTAATGACAGACTGATATCATCAATGGCTGAGTTGATGTCTACAGGTTCGTCGTTGTTCAAATCCAAACTCGGCAATGACCAATCCCTCTTGAGATTCGATCCAGGTTGGAGAGATCAATGAACTTTGGAAACCCTTCGGCGGAAAGCGTTCAGTGTCAGCCTCAGGGGCATATGGACCGCGTTCGACAAAAGCAGCAGCAGCTCGTCTTTCTTTGGGAAAGATTTCTTGCGACTCTTGTGGGCTGTGTCCAGCAAGCCAAGGAAAGTATCGAGTTCGGCGCTTCTCCACGGGAGACGTTTTTTTTTGCGACCGACTGACGAGCCTGAGGACATGATTTCGTCTTCGGAATGAATCTCCATATGATCCACCATCGCATACTCCTTAGAATCTTTGCCAAAGTACCTAACCACAACAGCCTTGCGGGCGTCCACAATCTTTTTGAACAATTCTCAATATCAGCAATGCCATCAACTGAACATCAAAAGGTAAATCAAAGACCCAGCTGACCTTGATTAGCATTCGTCTTTTCCTAGCAATACCTTCGACAATAGCCTCTTGTTCCTGAACCTGTTTTACCCCCTCTGGCGTCTTCATCAAATCTACCAGCTTTTCCTGATCCTTGTATTTCTGTTTTTTGTTGCCAACCCAGCGTCGAAGAATTTGCTCCCGATTTTCAGCAGTGTTTTCCGAGGTGAGAATCCCAAAACCTTTTGCTGCATTCGCGTCGAAGGCCTTAACCCAATTTGCCAGAATGATGCTCGAAGTTGCTGAGTTCCAGGGCGTGTCGTACGAAGCCCCCCAATCAAAAGTACAGCGAGGGAAACCTGCCAAAGCCAGGTCTGCCTCGCATTGCGTGCCAAAGTGATGTGGATAACATGAGATACCACCGGATGTCATTCTCGAACGGAACACCACTGGTGTCATAGCTCCTTTAAGGGCGGCTTCTTCACAAGCGTCGTCCTCAATCATTTTGCGTTGTTTTCGATTGGGTTGGAAACCGGCTGGTTTCTTTGCGAGGTATTTTTTCATAGCTTTGTCCTGAGTATCCCTGATAAGTTGTTCGAGAGACTGTTTACGAGTGCTCCAAGCTAGTCGTTCTTCTTCGGTAGGCGGTTCTGGCAGCAAATCCTCTTTCTTTGCACCACCTTTTGCCTTCCGAGGAATCCCCATCACCATCTTGGCAAACTCCTGTATTGCTCGTGCCAGAGCCGTTGCCGCTTGAGGGGTCGCATGTGCTTGAGCCGCCTTGCCAATCGCCGTGTTACGATGTCGATCTTCAGTGAGTTCTTTCAACATTTTTCTCTTTCTTTCCTTTCTTTCCATTAGGTCTTCGTGAGTCAGTTCGCCTTCTACATGCCCACAGAGAATGTTTGTTAGCGTCTGATTATGAATCTAGTAGGTACACCACCTTACACCTTCTACAAAAAGACATAGCTTACCTGAGGCTTCATCTGAGTTGTCATCATCCCCCACACACTCATCACGGTCTCCTGCAAGAGTAAAATTACAAGCCATTAAACATCCGTTCTCTCTTTTGCACCCGAAAAACTGTTTTCAACCACTAGACTACTCACCGGTGCCTGTCCCTTGATGATCATCTTCACGTCTCCTTTTTCCACCCGTCAATCCACTAGACGTCGAGCCCTGAGTTTGTGTTGGTGCCGAGCTCATTCTGATATGGATATAACAAAGGTTTGATTATTTGAGGCGATAATTCAAGCAGCTAACGTATGAAACAAACAAACGCTGACACAGTAAAACCGGAGAATCACCAAGAAGACCTGAAGTGGTGCCTAGACTTGATATATTTAAAAAGATGACTTCCCAGACAACTCTTGTCTACTCTCAAAGAAAGCTTGGTATATAAAATTTCGAAGGATTAAGTTGTAACCTCATTTATTACAAAGCTTAATTGTTAAAAAACCTACGACATCACAACCTGAAAGGACCTCTCACTGCAGTTGTAATTTGCCTTTCAGAAATTCAGACCACCAAGCCTCGGCGTTTAGAACAGTCATGTTATTTGTCTCTGTCGTGCCCCTTCCTTTCTGGTAGATACTTTGTGATACACCCGGGTAATTTTTCGACCGTTCCAAGATCTAGAACCTCTTTGTGACCCACTCTTTTTGAAAAAGCTTAACTGTGTCAAAGAACATCTACATTGGAAGGCATAAACGAAAATAATAATGTGAAGGAGCTCTTCAATTTATTGTGGACTACCTAGCCCTCATCAAATGAAATATAATAGCAGATATGCTCGAGTTTCCCTTTTGGGTACAAGTTGATTTTCCCTTTTGGGTACAAGTTGATTTGTCACCTTGTTCTCCGAGAGAGTTGTTTTATGGTTGAAAGAGAATCCACAATTCACAATTACAAGAATGTGAATAAGTAGAGGGTCACAAGATCTCACGGTATGCAAAGAGCACACATGTACACTGAGTTTGTTCAACTCGCGCACATATCCATTCCCTCACAAAAGACAAAGATAAAAAAAAACACCGAGAACAAGCCAGCGCGCACAAAATTCTGGTACAAAGATATACGATAGCTCATCACTACACAATCAGGAAGGATAAGTTTTCGAAAGATGATACCTCCCTTCAGAAACCTTTTCTCAAACTAGTCAAAAGTATGTATGTATATAACCATCATCAAGTACTAATTATTCTAAAATTTTTACTCCACCCAAGTATCTTTCATCCACCAACGCGAATACTAGATACATTAGGACCATTGATAAATTCAGTCTTTGTTTCCTCCTGATGACGAGACCCCCTCACTCGAATTCAATTTTCCTTGTATCTCATTTAACTTTTCGTGAAGAGTTGCAATATCATCTTTTGCCTTGTTTAATTCAGCCAAGCACACTGGCATCATGTCAGATATACCATCTTTGAACGAAGTGAATGTTGTCTTGCATACAAGTAGATCATCCTTTAAATTTGACAGTTCATTTTGAAATACACCCTTGACGCGTTTGAGCTCGGAGATATTGTCCTCGGTGTTACCAGACATATCTTCATCTTCGGATTCAACATGTTCATCTTCAGAGATATTGTCGTCACTTGAATAATACTCGTTTACGGCCTTGTCAGATAGATGATGTACGAGTTGAGCTTCTGCCACAGGGAATATGGATTCCATCTCCTCAATGCTGGGTAATGCAGCCGGTTTCACTTTGAGCTCCCAGAATTCGTTGGGAAGTAAGTTCTCGTGGTAATCGTCGCTATAGAGATCGGCCGGAAGGTGACGGGGTACAAACCCATAGTCAAACGAGTTGGATTTTACATATTTTCGAATCGGGCGAATAGACCCTGGAAAGATGTAGCGAGATTTGGAATGAAATTGTACACGCTGTTCAATCACTTCCATGAACCGAATAGTCTTTTCCGACCACCGTCGCGGGATTTCCACATGTATCTCCTTGATAACCGCATTGCCAGCTTTGATCATGACTTCAGACTCGTTACCCATAATCATAAAATTTCTGGGCTGAAAGATTGATATAAACACTTCGTTCACGCCTTCCTTGATCAAACACTCCGAGTATTCTTTACAAACCTGGTTTCAAAACAATTTCACGTCAAAAAAGGAACAAATCATATCAATCGTAACAAAAAACATACCATTTCCTTTGCATTTACCATGGAATGAAATTGCAGAACCTCCAAACTACTGCACTGAGTTTTATACTTTGAGCGTAGGTGGTTGAACTCGATAATAAATACTGGATAGACAATCTCTCGGGTGAGAACGTGCGGAGTAATTATATACTTGTAGGAGCGTGACTTGATCGCACGATAAAACGAGGTCCAAAAGAGTTCACCAGCCAGCTTGTTGGCGCGATTGTCAAAGCCGGCCTCCCAGTTGAAAGAAAATCGGCGAAGGCCAAAACGCTTGAGGTCCATTTCAACTTCCCAGAAATCTCCTTTTTTCATGTGGGGACCAGTATGTACAAAGTCCGTAACAGAGATCAAAGAAACGGAATTGGCATGGGGAAGAGGATCGCCATCAGGGAAGCGGTTGGTGAAAGCGCTTTCCTCTTCTGCCGAGAGAGACATGGGGATCGGAGACAAGTGCGACTCCCGACACATCAGGACACGTAGATGTCTGCGAACCAGAGACTGAGAAAGGCAACGTAGGCTTCAGACCGAGTCCCATCAGTAAAAGTTGAATATCAGAGACGGAACTTACATGGACCACGATCATCTCAGTTTTGGATACCGTCCCAAGCTCGGCATTCTTGCGAACAGCACGTACCCATCTCTTGGCGCTCTTCAAGTGACTAGCAGATGTCTTATATGGGTTGGAAGGCATATCAGAAAGAGTTTGACGGAAAGATATAAAACAGTTGATCGATTGAACTTTTCTTGAGAACGAAAAAAGCGTTGGTAATTGAAAATGATAGCACACTTAAGGGTGTTTTAAAAGTATGACAATGTAAAGGAACCAAAAAAGAACTACAATCAGTAGATTTGGTTTCAAAAGAGAACCTTTCTGACCGATGGAAAGTAGAGGTGTAGTCTTTTGCCGATCAACGCTGCCACCATGAAAAGTTTGTCCAACCGTTTTTTTTTGGCTTTTGTTTTTTTGCAAATCCTGGAAGCAGATTTAGCAAAGGACGCCACCTCAATCTCTTGTTCTACAAGTGGGAAAACATAGAGGGTAACTCAGCACGAGCGTATACCACTACGTGCTTTGGGGGACAATAGTCGGGGTGGTTTACGTATTTGTTTGATTAAGATGACTCGGAAGGGTCAGAAGGAGCTTCTACGTACGTAGCCTTCTGAACTTCTCTATCTCATATTTCTCAACCTCGATACTTGCTACGGTGGTTCACAGACCCACTTATTGAAGCAATAATTGAGATCATATTTAAACATTCTTTGTAATTTGAGAAGTCAAAATCAGCAAGATGGAACATTGACCCACTAGATAGAACGGTAAACAAAGAGTGTAGTCACTTTGTTCACCTTACCGATCGGGAAGCTCGCCGAGTCTTGGCTTGATCAAGCGTATGAATTTCAGATCATATTAGTTCTACAGAGCATCGGACGACTTTCGGAGACTCATTCCTCGTAATGAGCAATCTGTCCTTCTTCAGGATCCAGATTGTTATCAACAAGGGCTCGGTTGGGCGAGGGCAAAAAAATAAAATGAACAACTTTGAGAATCGAGATCACTTGCCATCTCATAAATTGATTGGCCATAGGCGAATGTACACTTGTTGTCTGTGCCATGATGGGAGATAAGACAATACACTCAATTTGAGTGTGAAAGGCATCATAAGGCGAACGGATGTTTGTCATCGTACGTCAGAAAAGAGGGTCCACTGATCTCGGAACGCATTGCACAAAGGAATGCTGTTCACGTTCATAGAGAACTAAATTATGTCTATTTTGTGTCTATATCGAACCTCTATGGTGTGTGCACGTCGACGTGCTACACCAAGACAGACATGGTGTACTGGCAATTGTAGCGTCCTTCAAAGAATGGCACCATTATCTTGAAGGCAACCCTAACCGTCTAGAGGTGATCGTATATACGGATCATCGGAATCTCTAGACCTTTATGACAACCAAACAACTCACATGGAGGCAAGCTAGGTGGGCAGAAACATTAGGCTGTTTTGATTTCATCATAAAATTCCAACCAGGTAGAGATGCGGCAAAATCTGATGCGCTATCCCAAAGGCCAGACCTGGCTCCAGGTGTGGATGACAACTTGACCTTTAGACAACTTATCAAGCCTGAAAGCCTTACGGATGACTACTTCTTAGTAGAAGTGGACACATTTGACACATTCTTCAAAGACGAGACCATCAACCTAAGCAATGCAGAGCATTGGTTCAAAGTTGACGTAGTAGGCGTGTTGGATTACGAACTAGATGGTGATTTTTCACATGAGAATAGTTCCTTCACCGCAACTGTTGAAACAGTTTTGTCCTTTCCGCAACATAACCCCGAGGATTTTATGCAGATGCAAATGGGGCAAGCTAGGATATGTGACGAGGGGATGTGTATCTTACAAGATACATTAACATTCCCATGATGTGAGTTCCACTCTGTTTCTCATTCATGTATAAGTGAACCAGCTGGCCAGCATAATTCTATTTGGACACTTGCAGAGACCAATTCCAAAGGCACTGAAGACCACATTATGACGGATGAAGACATTATCAATTTAATACAACAAGCAAATAAGAAGGACAAGCGTATTTGTGAATTGATCAACACTAAACTTAACCCGATATTGGCAAAGTTGAAGAAGGCCATTACCAACTACAGTCAAACCCGCGCAATTGCATACCCGCGCAGATGCATAACCCGTGATAATGCATAGAAAAAATTCTTGATCTTGATGCTTTTTACTGCCAAATTTGACAATGGAATTGCATAACCCCTGAAAATGCATAGCAAAAGTCTTCCACCCAAATTATGCCATTGCGCGGGTTCGACTGTACAAGGTGAAAGACGGTGTCCTATACAATGATGGTCGTATTGAGGTTCCTAACAACAACGACATCAAATACTACATCACTTGCAGCCAACACAATACATCACTAGCGGGCCATCCTGGAAGGGCCAAGACACTCAGCCTCATTCGACAAAGGTTTTTTTGGCCATCACAAAAATCATACGTAAAGAAGTATGTGGATGGCTGCGACTTGTGTCTCAGAGTGAAGTCAACCACCCAGAAGCCCTTTGGAACCCTTGAGCCCCTTTCAATCCCTGCTGGACCTTGGACCGACATCACTTAAGACCTAATCGCAAAATTACCGATGTCCAACGGGTATGACAGCATTCTGACTGTTGCCGAGTGGTTGACAAAGATGTCCCATTTTTTACCTTGTAAGGAATCTATGACAGCAAACGAGTTGGCTGATGTAATGATAAAAAATGCGGGGAAGCTCCATGGGACTCCAAAAACTATAGTATCCAATAGAGGCACAATATTTATATCTCAAATTACAAAGGAGCTTGATAAAAGGCTAGGTATCAAGCTACATTTTTCAACAGCTTTCCATCCTAGGACAGACGGTCAGAGCAAAATTGTCAACAAGACTATTGAACAATATCTCCGTCATTTTGTCCAGTATAGACAAGACAACTGGGGATCACTATTAGCAACCACCAAATCCACATACAACAACCGGGATCACAAATCAACTGGCATGTTGCCTTTCATGGCCAACTACGGCTATAATCCCACCTTCAACAGAGTTCCGTCTAACAAACAATGCATCTCAATTGTTGAGGACAGACTAAATATAATCGAAGAAGTGCAAAAGGAACTGACTAGCTGCTTGTAAATTACACAGGAAACAATGAAGAAGCAGTTTGATCAACACATCGAGAAAACACCAAATTGGAATGTTGGAGACCAAGTATGGTTGAATGGAAGAAACATTTTGACAACAAGACCAAGCCCCAAGTTGGAGCATAGATGGCTAGGTCCTTTTCTTATAACTGAAACATTATCAAGTTCAGCTTACAAAATGAATCTTCCAAATTCAATGAAAGGAATTCACCCGGTGTTTCACGTGTCTCTATTACGAAAACACCAAACAGATCTAATTGACCAAAGAAGGCAACCACCACCTCCACCAACTGAAATTAATGGAGAAGACAAATATGAAGTTGAAGGAATACTTGATTGCAGAAAGTGTCACAACAAAACTGAATTTTTAATTAAATGGAAAGGTTTTGGTACAAATCATAACTCATGGGAACCTGAATTTGATTTACAAAACACAAAGAATTATTAAATGATTTTATCTCAAGGTTTCCCAAAGCAACATCAAGATACAAAAGGAAGAGGAGAAATTGAGAGAGGGCATAGCTTTTTCCCACAGTGGTTTTTTAATGCTGCCCGGGGGAAGAACGCAGAACTTGCAAGAGGAAGTTTGGGCGTTAAAAGGGGGATGATGTTACAACTCTATATGTAACAGCCTGTGAAAGAAACAACTACATGTCACATATTGGTTCTATTTATACTCATTGTATTACATAACTTGTATCAGCCCTCATCCAACAATCTCTTTAGACAACAGAACAGAACCCTTGGCAGCTTTCCTTCATCTCCTGCACCCCGTGACAACAGGTCATAACACTCTGCTTCAAAGAATGCAAGCTGCATAAAATCAAACCACTGCTCTTTGTCAGAATGCAAGCTGTCCACAATATCCCACTACTCTTCTTAAAATGGAAGCTTAAGATCAAATACTGACTTCAATCTTGAATAGATGTTTCCTTAGACATTGCAAAATTGGCTCTAGCAATGGGTAATACAAAGATAGTACAACAATTTCTAAAGTTGTTAGAAAATGAGTCAAGTAAAACAAAAACTGCTTCTGAGAAGAATGTCAATACTATTCCCAACAATAGTGGAAAGGTTTCAAACTCAAGTCTACAAGGTTTTAGCAAGTCCTGGAACAATCATTTAACAAAACTAGAATTGAACTTCAAATTGACCATTTTCAATGACCAATGGATAGAGTTAGATCACATGGTGGAAGGTAGCAATACTTTGAAGAAGAAAGACAAACCTACTGGTTCAATCCCAAAAAGCAAGTGGTGGATGACATATGCAGATGGGACACATGCAAAAACTCTAATGTTGAAATATCTGAGACAAACATACTTTCACATAAAATTTGCAAAAAATTAAGTGATGATAAATTATATGAATAATGTAATATTCAATCTGACATTAAGGCTACACTTGGCTGGGATTAGTGAATTTCATGCACCTGAAAGTTGAGTGCATTTTGTTGCCACAAAATGTGTTAATTTGATTTTTCTCCTTTTTTTGAATTTTTGTGTTTAATGTACCTCATAATTCAATTCACGCTTGGTAGAAGTTGATCAGATTTGATCAACTTTAATCATCATAACCTCTGTTGACCGCCATTTTGAACTTAACACCTTTATCCCAAAACTATGTCAGACTCTGACTCTTCATCCGACGAAGATCAATGGACCTCCTTGTCCTCGTCATCATCAGCTTCATCTGACAGCAATGATGAATTAATGGAGCTCCTCATTGGTGCTGCTCAAGACCGTATCGAACTAGCAAATCACCCAAAAGTTCTGTGTCAAATGTTGGCACTTACAGGTGCTATGTATGCGCGTGATGTTCACCAAGGAAGTCCAGTACACTTCCGAGAATCATGCCAAATGAACAAAGTAGCATTAAATGGCCTATTGAGACATCTTGAAGGAGAACTTGAGGATACCAAACATGTCACCATCATGGAACAAGTTATGATATTTCTTTTTGTTGTTGGGAACGCTGGCTCAAATGCTCTCACCTTG